ATCCTTCTTCTTGTAAAAAAGGACAGGTGCTCCCCAATGTGAAACGCTCGGTCGGATAAACCGAGACTCAACAGCTCCTGAATCTGAGCCTTCAACTCCTGAAGCTCTTCCGTTGCCATGCGATACAGCGCTTTCGGCACTCGTCCCGCTCCAGGGACTAAGTCGATTGTAAACTCCACCTGGCGGTTAGGTGGTCCCCCTTGAAGCTGATCGGGAAAACATCCACAAACTCACGAACAATGGGTATATCTCTGGGAGACAGCTTCTCCGGAGAATCCCCAACAATGTTGATAAGAAAACCCTAACAATCCTCTCTCTGCATGTACTTTGTTGCTTTCGCCATGGAAATAACGCACGGTAGGGTTCGAGACTTTGTCTCAAAGAATGTGATGCGGTCCTCCTCGGATAAAGGTAGCGTCACCTCCTGATCGCGACAACGGATGTCTGCTTGGAATCTCGCCAACCAATCCATTTTGCGGATCCACTCAGCCGCGGCTAGCGGGCCATTCTCCCTAGAGAAACGGGACGGATCATAGGTACAGAATCGGCTGACCACAACAGCCTGGTCCTACTCGACTACGACTTGCGGATCTCTGTGTGGCGGCATTCTGGAGATCCTAAAATACTTGGATTGACCAGTATAGCCAATTAAGAAATAGCCATACTAGACTTGAGATAATAAAATAAACAATAAAGTCCGAAAACACCTAGCTTGGCTAGAGTTCCGGTATACTTAAACTTTCTATGTTCTGGCTCAAAATGGAGTTCTGAATTAGTCTAGAGTCCTTGGACTTAGCTGTTCTAGAGTTCTGTCTAGAGTTCATCCTCTAGAGTTATCTGTCTTACAGGAGGATAGTTATCTAGGCCCTATACTTAAACTGAATTTAGCACTTGCAAAACTTAAACTGAGTCAGGTGACTTACGTCGGAGTCGGTGCGGGATGAGCGTGGCGTGGTCATGCCTTTCTAACTTGAAAGTATACAGAAACGCACTCTGCGCTCTGATACCAACTTCTGTCAGCTCTCTGCCTTACTAGCTTTGAAATCAGAGTATATTTTTTTTTTTTTACTTTTATTTTCGAAAGGTCGTGCGAGCTTGGTTTTCGAAAATACTAACTGATTGCGGGATGTAAAAGATAAAAACTTACTAAACTTGCTCACAGACATATATAACACGCAACCAAACTATCCGCTATGGATAATGGAATTAAACATGCAATGTCTGAACTGTCTCGCATTGTCTAGTCTGCTAGCGGAAGCGTCCGAAATACAGAAATACATGCATACATATCCGAATATACATGATCATAAATACTAGGACATAAAATGTGCGTAAAAATGTCCAAGACTCTCATGACCACGCTTTGCCACATCTATGCTCACCCGGCACGCTCGACTCTGTCTCCTGAAAAACACAATGGGGGCGTGAGCAACCCACTATGCTCCGCAAAGACCAGTACTGAATAAAACAACATTTATAATATCGTATCATGAACATAAATATAGAAGAGTTGAATCTGTAAACTTTCTTTTCTTGCTTTACTATGGTCAAAAGACCCTCGGCCCTTGGCCGCTCGTGTGCACACCCCGATGGGATATTAAGGCACTTGGCCTCCACCGGCTCTCCAAATGGGATATTAAGGCCCTCGGCCTCCACCTGGAGAAACTAACTGTCTCGAACATACCTCTGTCATGGTACCGATATTATATATGATGTGGAATCCAGTACATGACCCCCACCTGGTATACTGAAAATATCTGTTGCAAGTGCTTGAAACTGAAGTAGCTGTCGGAGGCTCGACTCTCCTCAAACTACCAAACATATACCAGCAAAATAATCTAAGTATTTTGCTTGACTGCTAAACTTAATCTGAAATGATCATTTTATATTATAACAGATAAGCAGGCATGCAGATAAGGTAGGTTACAGATAAATAATTACATTTATCTAAAATTTAAACCGAACATAATTGAGCTCTTAACCTCATGATTTTTTTTTAAATTCACACAAGTCTCCAAAAATCACGTAATTTGGCTGTTAGATAGTCGACATAGACATGTACTTGCTGTCCAAATTTCATGTCAATGGGGCTTCATTTGCTTATTAAACTCATGACTTAAGCATAACATGAAATTCAGTTATATACATGCGCATATTGCAACAATTTTGTAAAATCACATGATCAATATTTTAGGCTCAAACTTGGTCAAAATGTTCAGCACTCATAATAGTATTTTACATAAAAGTTTCGCATTCATAGCTTGCATGTGGACAGAGTACTCTCGCACCTAAAATTAGTTCGACACGCATGTGATCTAAAAATTATAACTCCTGCATTTTCTATGATAAAATCATGAAATTTAGTATGGAGGCTCTAAACTCATATATAAACATGTCCATAAAATTTCATAATTTTATCCTGAGTAGAACTCGAGTTATTCGTGTTTGAAGTCACAGCTAAATTCGCGCATGTAAAGTTCAATTTACATGTCTAACTTTAAAAATCAATAACTCGAGTTATACTAGTCCAATTGACTTGATTCTTGATCCTATGAACTTCATTTTCTACAAGAAAAAGTTATAAAGTTCGCACATTAAAAGGTTTTGTAGAGCATGGGTAAAAAATGCAAGAAAACTCAGCATATGTAACATGCAAGCGAACTGGGAGCATTTAAACATTTAGCATGCTTATGTACCTACCATAACTGAACATATATAGCATATATATACACTAATTTACTCCTTATCCCATCTATATTATAATTTTAAAAAGATTTGAGCACACCAACCTCTTAATCTTCAAGAAAAATGCAAAAGAAGTCGGGTATGCTCGGTTAAAGTGCTCTCTTCTTTGCTTCCTTGTAGCTTTCGACCTTTGCTTGTTTTCTTGGGACCTCTTGAGCTTTAAAGCTTCTATGGCGAGAGAGGAGTGAGGGAATGAAGCTAATATGCTGTGGGTATGAGGTGAGCTTAGCTAGAACTTGGAATAACTCAAACATGAACCTTGGTACTTTATGATTTTCACTCTCGGCTTTGTATTTTTGTGGGAGTGTTTGCTTGAACTTTGCTCGAATTTCTTTCACCACTAAGTTAAGAATTCTATAAGTATCATATGAGTTTTACATGAAGCTGAAATGGGTCTTAAAAAGAGGTCAAAGGCGGAAGAAACTATGCTAATAAGTGGGAAAACATTGGTGGAACTTACATTTCCAAGATTGCATGTTCTTGGTGCTAGCATGAGTTGTCTCTTGCATTTTGTTTAGTGCAAAGAAAAGAGCACTACGGCTGGTGAATGCACTAAGAAAAGTGGGCAGCAAAGACTTACATGATTAATATAATAATCAACACTCATGCTAGCTTGATTAAGCATAAACAATAGCTAATGAAGTCTTTGACCTTGGTAATCCCTCTTAGTCTGAAATTAGGCTTAACATGCTTATATTATTCTCTAAATCACACGCATGGACTAGAATTTGGAGATGTAATGACCAAGGCTCGGTTAACTTCTCGGTTATACGAACGAAGTCTAGGACTTGAATCTGGAACTTAGATATTTACAACACTTAAGATAAATATTCTAAGTATTGCTACTAAAGTTCAGCTATGCTCGGAAATGACTTGAAATTTATTCGGATCGAGACTAGGGTCCGAGGCTAAAATTCTCAAGACAATTAACTATAAGTTAACCACCCGAATTAATGGATTGATTTTGACTTAAACTTGACATCGAAATATCCAAAGAATGATCTATCAAACTTAGGAATTAATTGAGCATTTAACATATAAAATATAACTCGGAATTTCTGAGAATTGTGGATTTCACTTATAGTCGAGCAGTGAAATCGTTCTTAATCTTATTTATTATTCGGGGTGTTACACATATATTGCACACAAAATAATTAGTTCGAACAAAATACATTATATTATTCGCAAATAATATAATGCGATGGCTAAAATACTTAATCGAGCAACAATAATAAATAACCGGAACAATATCAATAACAATAATAATAATCTGGAAAATCATATAATGCCACATATATTCACAAAAATTCGCATATGCGAACAGGGCGCTACACTAGGATTCAGGCAATTAAACTCGAATCTAAAAATTACTCGGTTATTAGAACTGGATAAAACTAGGGTTTTAGTTCTCCGAGTAAATTAACTAGATTTAAGCCGAAACTTTAGAACTAAGTTCTATGTGATATATGAGGATTTTATAACCTATAAATTCAGCTAAATTGCAACTGGAATTAATTTTAAAAATGCCGTAAAATGAGGCAAATGTCCCGAATTTGTAACCATATGAAACGATCTCCAAAAATTACGAAATTTAAACCACAGAAACACGAACATATATATGATTTATGGTAAAAAGCTAATAGACAAAATAAGCCATTAACCTAGTTAATAAAAATCGAGCATTTTTGGTCCAATTCCATAAATTCAGTTCGGCTATCAAACAAACTCCAAAATCTACCGAACTTTAACCTCTGCCTCAAGACATCAAAATAGGATTTTTTTTTTCAATTGGAATTATAATTTTTGGATCACCTAATAATATATTATTAGTTTCTTGCCATTTATATCAATAAATCATATTTACTCAATTTTTTGCAGTTATTATTTTTTATAACAATTATAATTCTTGTTTAACACTAGTAAATTTTTAGCCATTATAACTCCACATAGACTCAAAATAAAAATCAAAAGATGATAGGGCTGGACTTGAACTCGCGACCGTGGATCTAGCAGGGGGGCTGGGTGTAATAGCCCGTTTTGTTATTAATAAAAGTGATATTTTTAGTTCCGAGTTTAAACTACATTCTTTTATTAATAATAATGCTAGTCTTAGTTTTCGAGCCCAGTAATCAAGCCTTTCAATTCAAAGTTCGACTTTCCGTCGAAAGTATTCTCGGTGATTTAGTAACTGAGCCAGTTCAGTAATTAACCCCGACCCTTTTATTTTAGAAATGGACTTTATAAGTCGGGATTACTTATTCCAAGTTGACGAACTTATCGAAATCGAGATATTTCGAGAAATTGTCCAAGTCAAGTCGTGAACGAAACCGAGTTTGTTCGGCCACGAGCCCTCACGCCTAGTAGCCGCGCCCATGCATTTCCCGAGCCCTAGTGGTGGCGAGGTTTGTTCAAGTATAGCCAAGCATTCCCCTCGGCCCCAGCAATGCCGCGAGTTCGGCCGTGCGCGCCCAGCCTAGTCGTGCCCGAGGTCATGGTCGAGCCTTGCCCAAGTCAAGGCAAAGCATGTATAATTTTCTAAGTGTCCAAGTCTTCTTCCATGCCTTAATATGTTCACTTTCCTTGGCCCAAGTCATTTCACGCGCGTCCCGCCATGCAACACGTTCAAGCCGCACACACGCAGCCAGTACGCGCGCAGGTGCGCTGATGAGGGATCGTGTTTCTTGACTACGGTTGTGGATAATCGCACACTAAGGGCCTTCGACTAAGCTACAATAGGATGTGACGAAAGATGCACTACGGCCTTCTTACGAACACGATTGTGATAAAACCCGCACTAATGGCCTAGTTCTAAACATGAGATTTGCTCTTACAAACACTTTTCCATTAACTCAGCATGTATAAAAACAATGAGGGAAGACCCCTATTTATATATCCTAAATTAGTCTAGTCCTACTCTAACTAGTAAACTTAAATCATGCAAGAATAGAAATCCTAAGGCAACTAAATATCCTAATTACCATACTAATAACATCCTACTAATACTAGAACTCCTAATTGCTTGGCTTGCACTCCAATCCTCTTACTTGCACCCCACTCCAAGTCACCGCCTCTTGCCCTTAGTCCTCGAGGACTAGGGCCGCGCCGATCACTCGCATCGCCTTGCATTCGTCCGGCGTGCGTCTCTCCTACGCATTGAAGGATCACTCTCGAGCCCGCATCGCCTAGTCCTTATCCGCCAAGGAGTGTGCTCGAGCACGCCTCGACTTTGTCTATTACTACTAGGAATCCACTCCCGGCTGCGTTCCGTGTTTCTTCGAGGATTACTTTCGTCGCCGATCTTCCACGCGTATACCAGCACTCAGCTGATTTTCCTAATCCCGTGGAGTCTAGTGTTCGTGCCTTGCCTAATCCTATGAGGATTAGGCTTGTCATCCTCGTCTTGCCTCTCCCCGCATGTGCGCACGCGACCGTTATGCTCGCGCCCTGCTCGATCACCGCGCGCTCTATTGCGCCTCGCTCACCCAGTGTGGCCCGCTCGTCCGGCCACCCCTCATACTCACTCGCGCGCCTATGCGCGTTCGCTGCCCATCCGCTGTTGTCCTCCGCGCGTGCCAATGCTCGCACATTGCCCGTCCTTCCACAACAGCCTCTCTCGCGCGCTAACCACCCAACATCTACCCCATGCGCGCCACCTGATGCTCTAGCCTCCAAATGCCATGCGCGTCTTTCTCTCGCGTGCATCATCCTCTCGCGTGTCGGCCTTTCTCGCAACCTCTCACACGTCGACCTTTCGTGCGTCGCCCTCGCAAGCGTCAATATACCAAGATTTTTTCTCGACCTCCTTGAGTTAGTTGACCCTCGTGTGGTTGACCCTTGGCTTACACGGTTTGCCTCGTACGCTCGTGCATCTCGTCAGCGCGCTCCCCCGCGCGCTTGCTCGCGCAGTGTCCTCGACCTGCTGCTAGCTTCCAGGCCCTCGCTTGCTAGGCCCGTGTTTACTAGGCCTATAACGCCCCACTTTTATTTGACGAAAGTCAAGGACTTTTTAAAACGCGAACGGGAATTTTTCCGAAATTCTTTTCATAAATTGTTTGGCATTACTCGACATATAACCAACATTTACAAACTTTCGCAAATCAGTTACTCGCAAGTAATTTAAACATCATCAAATATCCAGAGTCAAATCGTAACTACCCTCATAGGGTTTTAAATAAAGTTCTGAAATCGATTAGTAGCAAACGGGGCATCTCCCCAAACCATTGAACTTCTCAAATCATAAATAATCTAGAGTTCAACATAATGACAAAAACAATCATAATATAGCGACTCAGAAGCTACACAATGTGGTCCGGTCAAACGACCGACCACCACTCATCTCTCGCCGCCATGCAGCCGCCGACTCAACCTGCGTCCATGAAGAGCAGGTGGGGATGAGCACAGAAGGAATCCGTTGTGCTCACCGCTATGTGCATGAACAGTTATAATAAATAAATACCAAAGTAAATATGGCATGGTCACAAGTTTGAACATAGACAATAAATTTTCCCATCTCCTATCCAGAGTCGATTATATCTCATGTGCACACCTATTAGAATAGACTACATTTGGTCCATGTATCGTCTCCCCGCAGGGACTCTAACGTTGCCAAAGTAGGAGGGTCATCCGCCAACCCCGAGGGTTTTAGATGAAAATCCACTGTCAACCCCGAGGGTATTAGATAGGTCTGCCAACCGCGAGGGTTTTACGCAGGAAATCCATCACAATAGGAGATTACCCACTCGGGGTACGTTCTATAACAATGGGGATATGTTCGACGGCCGGTACAGCTCACGCCGACAGTTATACATACACATTTCATACTTTGATCATACCCAAGTAAATAAACATATTCACAGTTCAAGGCATAGACAATTTTTGAATAATAAACCCACCTGAAAATTGCGGTAGAATATCGCACACAAAGCAAGTACGTAGGTCGAGGTCTCGACTTCTCAAACACCTACATTTAAGCGAGATAATGCATAAATAATCTATCTCACTACTCAAATTTGACATAAAACACATACTTAATAAAAATTAAGATTTAAGGGTTTTAATCGGATTTTTCGTGGACTTGGAACTCTCTCATTTAGAAAAAAATAGGATTCGGAGAACTAAATTGGAGTCTGGAACTTAAAATAATTTTTCCAAATTTTTTTTCTCATTTGAAAATAATTTTTTTTAAAGTTTAAAACGATATTAAAAACGGGCTTCCGAAACTCAAAATAGGCTTAAAACGACAATTGTTGCCAAGCTGTCCAAACGTTGACAACAAACTGCCAGCATATGGGCCTCGCGCGCGACAGATGGACCAAGCTAAAGGAAGGACGGCCCAATGATGCGGCCTGCTATCAGGCTCCTCGGGCTCGCGGTCCAAGGTGCAGGCCGAATACTGAGAGGGTTAGCAGGCCGCGCGGTCCGCTTGTGGGCTTCACAGCCCGCTCTGCCTAGAAAACTCAAAGAATAGAAAAACAAACAAATGTCTATAACAGGGTTCGAACCCCGTATCTCAATCAAGAACTCAGCATCCATACCACTGCACCACACGCCTTCTTGCAACACTAAAAGGAAATCTAATTTTATAGATTAAAACAAAAACCTGCATATATGATAAGCAGCAACTGAACAGAAACTTTCGGCTACAGGTTCTCAATTTCGATTTCGAGCACATAAGGCTTTTATGATTTTATGAGTTTCGATATTTTATAAAGTCGGGATTAAATGGTTCGAAAACGAAAGACAATACACGATTTTAAAAAGAAACGAACGGTATAACGAAAACTCGAAACAATAATATTGAAACTCCGAATCACTCGGAAACATCATACAACAACAACGGGATTAGCTGCAGCAAATAAGAGTTGATATTTGCAAACGAGAGTTCCAATTCACACTACTAATATCCGAAACGCAATACGTTGAACAATACGAACCAAATATATATATATATATAAATATAATCCAACCAAAATAATAGAAACGGTTTAACGAGGATGAGAATGAACGAACGACATCAACCAGAACAACAATTATTGAGAAGGTTCGTAAAAATGGTTACCCGTCTTCGAGAATTTACGGGCTCAGTCGGCAAACGGACGGATCGAATAGGACGAACGGAGGCTCGAAGGAACTCAAATTCTGAACACGGGGCTAAAGGGACTTCCCACGAACAGCGACTCACTGGATTGGAAGTCGATGAAGATTTGCAGGTCGCCGGGGTTATTCGTCGGAATTAATGGAGCACTCGACTATGGTGGACGGTAACTGGTCGGACGCTTCTCTGGACAGCGATCGCTCCTTTCTGGTCGAGGACGAATGGCTGCTACTCAAGGACGGTTGGCGATGGCAGTTCTGCTAAGTTGGCTCGCCAGAGCATAAGGGTTCAGTGGCAGAAATTGCAGGTATGCAATTTTTTTTTTTTTTTTTTTTTTTTGAAATTGAAAGCATGCTTCTGTTTGAGATAAAGGAGAGGAGGTTTGAACGACTATCTGTGAAAGTGGAACTATGGCCGAGATATAAGTGCAGGGACGAGAACGTGCGAGGGAGAATTCTGCAGGAATATCGCAACGATATATGAAGAGAGGACTCGGTGTGCGAGAATGAAGAAGGATAAGAATGCCGTGCTTAAATTTTTGTTGGGCCAAGGTTAATCTCACCAAGTTTTTGGGCCAAAATTAATATAAGGGAATGGGCCAATATATATATATATATATATATATATATATATATATATATATATATCAAATTGGGCTAGAGTAATTGATCCCACAATGGCTATGAAGAATACACTAACTTGGCCGGGTTCCTCTCGGGCTCGAAACGGTTCGCGAGAAATTTAGAATTCGAGTTTAATCCGGTTTAACATAATAAACCAAATATCCGAACGACTTAAATTAATTAAATCGAACGAAATAATTTAACATTATATTATTCGCAAACAATATAATGTTATGGCTAAAATACTTATTCGACCAACAATAATAAATAACCGAAATAATATCAATAATAATAATCTAGAAAAATTCATATAATGCCACATAAATAACATAAATCACATAAATCCATGAAAAACCCACATATATTCATGAAAATTCGCATATTCGAACGGGGCGCTACAAGGCCCATGTCAACTCCTCGATCCAAGCCCATCCGCATACGCACCATGCGCTTATACCTCATGCTCATAGGGCTCATGCGGCGTCTTCCTGATCGTGCCTTTATGAACGCGTGAGTTTTTTTTGCACATACCCACTCTTTCGCACGAGACTCTCATCGACTACCCTGTGCTCGCGTCGACTCACGCCGCTCGTCACGTGCTTGTGCGCCTCGCATACGTGCTCGTACCCGTCTTTTAGGACCACCATGCGTGGTTTTGGCCCTTTTTTCAGCGTTCTCAGATAGTCTCGGTCTTCGGCCCTTCTCATACTCGGGGGTCAAACCCCACATCTTCATCATTCCCGCCCCCTTTAAGAATGTCCTTGTCCTCAAGGACTCGTCCTCGACCATCTAAACCTCGAGCACCTCCTCTTCTACCTCAAAGACCTCGAGCGTTTCCCACTCACGGTCCTCGTCAACTTCGACTAAGCCCTTACTCACGACATCGACCTCCACGTCCTCCGCGTGCATCTCCTCCACAAGGCCCTCTTCGACCATGACTACCTCGATCTCGGCGTCCTCGACATCAAAGTTCGCCACCTCTTTTTCGCTCCTATAAACCTCAATGAACGACTCCTCCCTGTACGACTTCAACTCTCGGTTCTCCTCGTCAAAGAATCCCAGAAGTTCGAACAAGAACGTAGGTTCCTCGTCGATCTCGATCCGTGGAACCTTCGACTTGCATCTATGGCCCGACACATATCTTTCGTTGCAAGTAAAGCATAGACCTTCGTCTTGTCGTCGTAACATCTCCTCCATGATATTGGCTTGTCGTTCGTACTTCTCCTTTAAATTTCTTCGCTCGTACAACTCATCCAAAAAACTTTGCTCCTTCGGGGTTAACCTTCTCTCCTATCCTTCCAACATTACAAGATCTTCCCAACCCAACTCATCTAATAACTCGAACAACATATTTTTTTTTTTTTGGATCTAAATCATTAAAAGAAAAAAAAGAAATATTTCAAAAGAAATAGAAAAAGAAAATTCGAAAAAAAGAAAAATTCGAATCAAAGAATAAGGGAAAAATTCAAAAAAGAAAAAAGAAAGGATAGCCAAGAATCCCATTTGGACACTCTCAATGAAAGCACCAATGATGAGGGATCGTGTTTCTTGTCTACGGTTGTGGATAATCGCGCACTAGGGGCCTTCGACTAAACACGATAGGTTGTGACGAAAGACGCACTACGGCCTTCTTACAAACACGATTGTGATAAAACCCGGACTAATGGCCTAGTTCTAAACACGAGATTTGCTCTTACGAACACTTCCCATTAACTCAGCATGTATAAAAACAATGAGGGAAGACACTTATTTGTATATCCATAATTAGTCGAGTCCTACTCCAACTAGTAAACTTAAATCATGCAATAATAAAAATCCTAAGGCAACTAAATATCCTAATTACAATAATAATAAAATCCTACTAATACTAGAACTCCTAATTGTTTGGCTTGCACTCCATCCTCTTACTTTCACCCCACTCCAAGTCGCCGCCTGTTGCCCTAGCCACCCGCACGTTGCCTTAGTCCACGAGGACTAGGGCCGCGCTGGTTGCTCGTGTCGCTCGTGTCGCTTTGCATTCGTTCGGCGTGCATCTCTCCTACGCATTGAAGGATCATTCCCGAGCCCGCATCGCCTAGTCCTAATCCGCCAAAGAGTGTGATCGAATGTGCGTTGACTTTGTCTATTCTTACTAGGGATCCACTCCCGGCTG